TCTTCTAATTTAGATTCCTCCTCATCAATTTCTTCAATTGTCAGAACTTCCATATCAACAGCACATTCAACAATCTCACTAGGTTTTTCACTAACAATTTGTTTCTGATGTTTAGCATATAAACAATTTCTAGCAGATTCCAGGCCCTTAAGCATATCAAAAGTAGCAAAATTATTCTCATGAACTAAAACACCCATACATTTAGCAAGATTGTTCAATTCAGCATTATCAATATCAGACAAAGACTAAGATGGTTTAATGGTACCTTCTATAGACCTCTTTTTAGCTAAATCTTCATTCTTCTCCATTGTAGTAAGATGAACATCCTTCTTCAACCTTACACTCCTTCTCTCTGGCAAAATTTCCTTAGTTATTTCCTCTTCCACAACCATCTGCTCTTAATTAACCTCCTTTGTATTGAGGGGCACCAGAGCTTTCCCACATCCATCATCAGTCAAGACACTTTCTTGAGAATTAATCAAGGCCTGATTAGCTGTGTCCTTCTCAATCTGAGATTCCTCTCTGTATTTGCCATCTTGTCCTCCATAAACATGAAGCTCTTCATGCTAAGTTCTTGTTCCTTGTTCCCCATGATCTATGCAGAAGGATCAACACTCTCATCCACTTCCATTGCCCAAACCTGATGATTCAATTTGTCTTCATTTTGCTGACTTCGTTGCCCCACTTCAGTATAGGCACCAATCCTCCTTAACCTATCACTCAAGGATTCACTTTCAGCATCAGAGTCATCAAAGTTGTCAGGGATATGAACTCTGTCAACTTGCATATCACTCTTGAGCAGACGGGACCTCTTTCGCGTTCTCTTTCTTGCCTTCACCATCTTGATTGCTATTGTGGTCCAGGTGTTGCGACCTCTTCCACCTGGACCGCCCCCACCCTGACCGCTTCCTTGCCCGCCTCCACCGCCACCCCATCCATAGCCACCTCCCCATCCATACCCGCCTCTTCGCCCGCCGCCTTGGTAAATCTTCACACGAACTGTAGCTGCAGGTTTAGATCAAACCGCAGCTACAACTGACTTGGGAGGGGTAGGCCCTTGAAGCACAAATCCTTTCAAAGCCTTCCTGCCTGCCTCCGCAGGTAGCAGAGGATCGCCAGGACCACCATTGGAGGCCCAATGCAAGCAGATCAGGATGGACATCAACTTCACGTCCTCTCTATTGATTCCTTCAACGGGATATGAGTCCTTCTCAAAACCATGGGAGAATCCCTTCGCCGAGGGATCCACCGGAAATCCGATGCTCTTCGTCTTCCATCGAGCCCTTGTGCTCTCCGCAATCGTCAGGAAAGCTTGCGCGAAACCGAGCGAGACCTTGCCGACCGCCCCCGTCTTCTTTGGTTCTTAGCTCCGCGGAGACCACTGCCTCGGATCGGTCTCCGATCTCGGGGCGGAGGTCGACAGAGGAGACTGGAGGGAGGAAGATGCCGGAGGCGGCGGCATCGTGGAAGAGGAGACGGTTACGGGCGACGTCCAACTGGTTTTGTGCGCGTGCTGCTGCTTCCGCGGCGGCGGGAGAAGCCGGAGATGATTCCGCGATCGACTATTAACGCAAGAATCTAGCAGTAGCGCAGGTAATCTACCGAAATAGCAAGAACTTGGGAAGAACGGATAGAAATCGCGGCTAACACCCGCGGGATTCAGACAGTTTGGGGAACGGGTACAGCAGAGTTCCGTTCTTCGTACCTAATGACTAGGCGGTGGTTGCGCATGCTTATAACTGCATAGCACCGGCCGCTAAGAGCATCTCCAATAGCCTTTCTAAATCTCACTCTCTAAATCATCATTTGAAGAATCATTTGCATAATAATCGTTTTCTACATTTTTTTTCATTCTCATATATCTCATGCACACTCTAAAGAGTCATTCTCGTCTTCTATTTTTGGCTAGCGAAAAATACTGAATAGAAGATGGCTATATTTGAATAACCATTTAGATAAGCTGTTGGAGGATAGTTTTTTACCAAAATCTCTATTTCTAGCATTTAGAAAGGATATGAAGAGCCTCCTAGAGATGCTCTAAGCCAGCCATCGCTCCTAGCCTAGTTACAAGGCCAAGGCCCAGCTACTTGAAGTAGCCCATCTCATAACACTGTCCCGACTAAAATATATCTTGGCCAATTTTAGTAACTTTGAAAATACCCTACCAGCACTTTTCATGAAAAAGTCATCATCTATCAAGCGCAGGGGCATGTTTTTTTTTTTGGTTGAAGTCGTCCCGAGTTACGTTAGAGAGAGAGAGTGGGAGAGAGATTGCCTCATGTCTATTTTGTTACTGCCCAAATTAAGCATCGACTAATCTAAGCTCGACGCCAACGCTGTTCATATAAATTAAATTCGGTGCTCCTGTGTTCCAATCAATGTACAGTATCCACGAGAATTCCTCCACACCCACTTGTATTGTCGCCCTGCAGGTTCAGCCGTTCCTGGTGAAACAAGAGAAAGATGGCAGTGTCTCCCGGAGCGGTGCTCTTCTTATTTCTCCTCGCCGCAGCAGGTGATTAGCTTATGCCTTATGGTGTCAGGCGTTAATTGCTCATTAGCCATCCATAATCTTACCCGTACCAGGCAGATTGATTGGTCACCACGGACCTGTTCTTGGTGATTAATCTGTACGTTGCAAAATCTGCAAAATGGGACAAATGAAATGTGATCACTGATCAATATGGTGCATGCAGAGATGGCAACCATTGATGCCAAAATGGGAGTAGTCAAGCAGACCTTGCTAAAGGACAAACTGAAAGCGAAGGAGGAGGAGGAAAAAAGCAAGGGGAAGGAAGAGAGCCAGTGCGTATCGCAGAGTCTCCAGTTCAAGGGCTTCTGCCTCAATAGCGACAAATGCGCCGAGGTGTGCAAGAAGGAGAGCTTTGAAGATGGCGAGTGCAAGCTTGGCCTGTCCAACCGCAAGTGCTTCTGCAAGAAGCCATGCTAGTTCATCGGTCTCTTGCTAATTGTTGATATGTGCTCCACTAATTTGTGGGCCTTATAGCTCTCGAGAAACAAAATCACCTTTGATAAATCCCGATCATCAAAACCGTTTTTGCACTTCTTATTTAGCCGGTTATGTACTGGTTTTGGGGCTCCGATTGGAAGGAGCTGCTGATTTTGGCTTGCCCGAACTAAGAGTCAATAGCTATGCAATTCTTTTGCCTCCTATAAATGGACATCTATATTATTATGATTTGTTAATGATGTCGAACTCTATTTCGTGATGTCTTTTAATTTTTCTTGTGGGTACGGTGAGTTACTGTAATAGCTATGACTACCTTCTTTGTAATGTTGGACTCCTCTCTTTGATGAGATTAAAGCCCAAATGATATCCATTATAAAAAAACTATTATCCAATGCATTCGTGCTATACCTTGTCATAACCGGTACTAGGAGATAAGCGAGGCCCCTTTTGTAGTGACATGGGCAAGATAGCAGTGGGCTAGTGGATCATGTGCACACGGACATACTTTTGGGCCGAACACTACCCAGAAAATGTCCCGTGGGCCAAAACCGATAGGCAAAATCCGAAAAACTATCAAGAATGATTTCCTATGATTAGTGATTGCCAGGGATATGTTCAGTTAATCATACATATATAATCATCATTAGAAGTCATACATTCCTTGACTGGATCAAGCTATGAAGATACTATTTCCTAAGGCATACATGAAGCTACTATCTTAATTGCAAAACAAAGTCGACAGGAACCTAAGCTGGAATGCTTCATTGGAGGGCTGTGCGACTGGGCCCGTGATTTATATCCTCTATCCTGAACCCATTTGCAAAAGGGTCTCTTTTGAGTCCTGTTATTGGAGAAGATAAAAAATGGGTATTAAACCCTTTACCTATAGCGCTACACAAACGTGGAATGGGTCTTGTATTTTGGGTAGCGGTTGTTGTAGACACTGTAAGGTGTAAGAATCATGTGAAATGATCTTTTCTTTTTCGTATTGGTGATTTAGATGAAATATTGCAAAGTCTAACGCGCTTTAGATCGGCGCTTCGCGCCGCGCCGACGCGACACCAGAACTTCTAGCAGGCGGCCCAGAGACCGTCGCCCCGTCCCTCGATCCAACCCATGCGGAATTGGCTGGCCGCCCCCCAAGGCACCGGCCTTGAGCTTGTTGCCAGAGCGACCCACCACCCCGTGCTTGTCGATTGTGCTACCACCACCACTGCGCTCACCGGCTGTTAGTCATCCTTGCGCCCGTCGGCCACCAGCCTGCTGCTGCACGTGCTCCGGATCCAGCTTGCCTCGGATGGCCATATCGGTGCCTCTGTGTGCGGGTTCGCCGTGCTGCGCCGCCATGCCCGCACGAAGAGGTCCCATTCGCAGTGGGAATTGCTGTGTTATTATTCCGCCTTCCAACTGAATCATCTAAGACAGGTCTTTGTTCGTCCCATCTCTCAACTTCTGCGCCAGCTTCAGTATCAACATCCATATAGTCAACTGAATCAATACATGAAGCAGGCACCTCGCATTGCTCTGCAAAGGAATGTTCTGAAGATGCTTCGCTTGTGGATTTGCCAAATTGCACAGACTTTATCCTAATAGGACCAGGCGACCCACGCGCCTGGATCTGTGCTGGTATACGCTGTAGTCTGCAGGCCGGATTTCATTTGAAAATTGAAATTTCATAGCATGTAGCAAGTTACATAAAAATGAAATTTTCATTTCAGTCCTGTTGTTGCGGCAAGTTACTCAATTGCTATTGGCATTACCTTGCGTTATGATTTCAGAGCTCTATTTTAGTTTTCATTTTGTCTTCTTTAGTTTTTAGTTTTTATTTGTCAATTTCATTTCCATTATTTTTGTTGTCACTTTTTGTCAATCAATGGTTTTCCAATGTGTATTCTATATCTCTTGATATATTCATTGCAATTCTGGTAAATTAGTGAGTCCTGTCAGCCAGCTTGTAGTGAGACCTGAAATCTGATCATTGCCAATTCAATTTTGACTCATTTGCTCTTTCCACTATTAAGTGTGAGCAATGAAGGTATAACTAGGTCTGAATAGGTTCTTTTCTTTCGATTGATGAACTACATGTTCCGTTTTACTTGTTATCTGTATTGGATGCTTTTAGTTATTTGTTTCAGGTTACACCATTGAATTCTTGTGCAAGGATAGGATTTTCACCAACTTAGTTAGCAGTTGTTTCCATATTATTGTGTTGATGTTTAACTGAGCTGTCTGTAATAAGATAGTGCAGATTGAACTTTTAACTGATTCCCATCTTTATTTCTTTGCCAGACTGATTGGGAAGGTGGATACTTCCCTCTAACACTTCATTTCAGTGAGGATTACCCCAGCAAGCCTCCCAAGTGCAAGTTCCCTCAGGGTTTCTTCCTCCCAAATGTCTATCCTTCTGGAATAGTCTGCCTTTCAATCCTTAACGAGGACAGCGTAAGCTTTGCAACCATTTTCGTAGCCCTGTGTGATGCTATACTGATTTCATGGCCTTACTGTTCCAAAAAAAAAAATTCTGTCAGGGTTGGAGACCAGCTATTACTGTTATGCAGGTTTTCATCGGTATCCAGGACTTGCTAGATCAGCCAAATCCTGCTGACCCTGCTCAAACAGATGGCTATCACCTTTTTATCCAGGTTAGTCAAAATTGATGGAGCACAACAAAGATATTCTTTGCCCAAAACCTTACTCCTTTTAGTTTTGAAGTTCAGATAGCCAATCACGTTTGTAACATTTTATTTGGCTTTGCAGGATCCTACAGAATATAAGAGGCGTGTTAGACTGCAAGCGAAGCAGTATCCGGCATTGGTCTGAGAACTTCGCCCTATTTTATTGTGATTTCAGTTCCAAATTTCAGTTTTTATTTTTAGTTTTAATTTTAGCTAGCAATTTCAGTTATTAATTTCATTTTGTAATTTCAGTTTTTTATTGGTCCGAGCTCCTCCCGCCTCCGTGGCTCTGCCGCCGGCCGCCAGCGTTCCGTGGCCGCGCCGCCCGCCGCCGGAGCACGCAGACCACCATGGCCCGCCGCGGGAGCTCGCAGGACCTCCGTCGCAGGACCGTGAGACGCCCGCCCCAGCCATGGACGAGCCTCCAGCCGCCCACCGAAGCTCGCCCCGCTTATGTATTCTACTAGTTGAGTGCCCATGCATTGCTACGGGGACAAAAAAAAAATAGAACAAGGCAATACAACTAAGAGGCTCAAACGAAATTGTCAAAATGATAGATTATTAGATTAGTCTGTGATTAGGTTTCAAAAGCTCAAGAGATTTCTATGTAGCTACTTTTGAAATGGAACAGATAGTTGACTTAGGATGCATAAAACCATAGCAGTGGTGATCACAAAGAGATTCTCTACTCAGTTCAAGAAAAAACAAATTGGTTTAGTGCTTCTCTACTCAGTTCAAGAAAAACCAAATTGGTTTAGTGCTCAACTTAACTTGCTTCGACCACCAAGCAAAATGCTTGTGGGAGGCTGAGGAAACCACTGTCGGCTGCAAAGTGCAAATGTATTTGCCATAATTTGTTGGTAGGAGAGACACCAGATGAATGTTACTGAAAAGAGAGAGCTCACATGAAATCAACCCAGCACATCTTTTGCTTAAGCAATGCCCTGAAATTCGGTTTGGTTGAAAAAATAACATCAATATATCCATTTTTTCTGGCCAATTATGCTAAGCAACTAAATGGGCACAACCTCAGTATATATGACAAAATCTCCTTATATTATAGTCTATAAAAGAGCAAACATTATGTAAGGGCAATTTTTTGACTCATATTATCTAGGAAATACCAGCCCTGCACATCTTATCACCCTTCAGCACCTTGCCCCATCCTACAACTTCATCTTCAATTTGCCAAAAGCACGGCCGAGGTCCCATAGTTGTGGTCTACAGTACTCTTCAAGGTTTACCAAATTTGGTTCCTTTCTTGCAGTCTGCCCACTATAAATAGAGAGATTGAATTGTTGCAATTATCACATTAAGATAGGAAATTCAAGTATGCAAAAAAACAATTATGCATGTATGTTAATAATGTAGTACAGAACTACTTTCCCAATGCCTTATTATTTGAGAATTTCCACACCGAATATATCAAAGACCTATCATTACTCTGACAAGGGGCAACTTAATTATTAAAGGAAAGGAAAATAAAATTTCTATTAAAAGAAAAAAAGCTTATATGAAATGACTTTACCTTTTAAATAGTCGAGATCATGTAGTGCTACAGAAACCTCATGCCATACACACAGGAACCATGAAGTTCAGAATTACACATGCAAAAATGCCATTAGGATCTGGCCTTCAAGAATCATTAAGCATCTAATTGACCCAATTACCCATTGTGGCAGTGAAGCCTTGGACTTATGTTTTGTAAAAGTGAGACAATAGATCCATCAGCACTCATCAACCAAATTTTGAGGCCGAAGACTTTTTATGAAGGCACTAAATGAACAGGCTCCCAGATCCGGAAGGGTGTATAGAGCAATTCCATAAGTATGATGGAAAAAAGAAGAATTGAGTATGGAATTACTCAAATTTATCAGTACTCAAACTTGGCACTAATTTATGGAAAGTAAACATTCTGCTCCATCTAAAAACAACAAATAGAGAGGAATCATAGTGTCTTGTATATGTGTGGCTCCTCATAACACTTCATCTGGTAAACCAATTAAGAATTTTCAAGCAACAGATATGCATAAACCACAAGCACGAGACCAAATTAGAAACTTTTCTTTTTACCAAAGAAAGAAGCACAACTGACATAAACCACAAACAAATTCTAATGTAAGATTTTTGATTCTCCGTGAACTGAACTTTTCCAATATGAACTGTGCTAACAATCTGCATGGCCTGAACTTCAACTGTGCCTAACATAGATGCCAAGCAGAAACTCCATTTTGGGATGTATCCTTTTCTATGCAGATCACCTATATGCTAAACCAGTAGAGTCCTAATGAGCAGCAATTGGACTTCATTTCCTATTTATTTCTGACCCTACAAAAATCGTACATAATATCATGTGGTCAAGTACTTACGGTCTTCCAAAGCAGAGGCACTCAACAATGAGGTGGATCATCCTCATGAGTAGTTGCTTATATTTCTAAGGATGAGAGTTGTATTATTGACCATAAGGTGCTCAATTTATATTTCTACTTGAAATGAAAAAAATGTTTGGTTGCAACAAAAAAGAGTGGAATTGTTGCTTGTCACTGTTTTAACTATAAAGAAGCAACGAACGAATTAGGCATTGATACTTTCTGATGAACTGTCACATAAATATTGGAAGTTTTGCTTCTGGGTCTATATGCCATTATCTAATTGAACACACCAGGATCAGAGATGCGATGAGTAACCAATGAGATTGCTATGACGCCTACAATTTTCACCATAGGGAATGTTTAAATTTGCTTTGTTTACCTGCAAAGCCAACAACCAGTTGGGCGTAGCTGCAAATTCAGAACCCTGCCGCCAGTCTCCTCCACACTGGGCCGCCACGAGCACTCATGCAAGGAGCCGATCCAGCATGATAGGGGATAGGGGCTGCCATGATTGGTTAGCGTATGGCTCCTCATTCACTTCTCCTTGATCTGTTGTGATGGCAGCAGGAGGTCGCCCCTCCCTCTCCCTTGGCAGCAGCAGCTGAAGGTCACCCTTTGGATGGATCCTCCTCACCTCTCCTTCAAGCTGTTGTGGGGGCCTTGATGCAAAACATATTGTTAGAATAATATCAAGAAAGCATAAGAGCAGGGCACAATACAACTACGAATCGCCTGCAGTGCATTCTAATATAGTGATTTACCTGCAATGGTTGCTCCTACTGCATCATCTGGTTGTCTGGCACAAGATCACATTGGCTTGATGGAGGCAGTCTAGTATCTGACTCTTTGATGGCTGGAATTCAACAAATTTACGCATCAGATCAATTTAACACACTGCACCAATGTGTAACTACACTGGGCTCCTACAATTCACACATATATCCCTAATTTCATAACCAAATTATTCCAATGTTGACGTAACGCAAAGGTCGTAAATCTTGTTTGCCATCACCTTTTCGACATTCTTGATGCTGGTGGAATATGGTAACTGGTGCTGTTGTGCTTGGTGGACGGCTTCCAACTTGGTTAACAGTAACTGAAGCCCCAACAGTAGCGGTTGTTTGCTTAACCTGCAACAGAGTGCATATGAAAGAAATATTAAAAGAAAGATAACCACCAAGGTGGGGAGGATGAAGAGCAGAAGGGCTAGGAACATTCAGTGCAAAGCACACATCTCTGCAGGCGCAGATCCAGTAAAGGACATGGGTGTGCACATGTACACATGATAATCTTTGAAAAAGATCGAAGTTAGCAAGCATAATACATATACACCTATATGTAATTAGATCAGATCCAAATAAAAATAGAGGGTTTGGGTGCTCCGTTTTGCACAGCAGGAAGAGAAGGGGTTGGCACACCTGGTGCTTCTCCTCGCCAGAAAAGTGTAAGGTTAAGATCCAGGGCCTAACGAAGACATGGGCACCTGGTGTAGTGCGGCCGCCCAGTCGTCGCCACGAGAGAGAGCAGCAGGCGCACTGTACTGGAGAAGAAAAGGCAGCGACGAATGGCAGCACAGGCAACAGCAGGCGATGGTGGGGGCTATCGGCGGAGGCGGCTGGGGTCTCCTGGTCCTGGCTTTCTTCGTCGTCATCGACGACGGTGGGGATGATTAGCGGCCCTAATCGCGCGGGATAGCTGCGGAGGTGGGCATCGTGCGCGGGCGATAGTTCCACGGTAGAGAGAGCGGGGCAGACTGCGGTTCCGTGTAGAGCCGAGCGGGGCGGGGGCGTGGGGCAAATCGCTGATTTTTTTGTGGGGGGTGATTAGCGCGGTTAATCACGGGAGGGGGCGATTAGCGGGGCAATGACGATGACATTTGGGTCTTTTTAATTGTAGAGATACACATGGGTGTGTGCATGGTGAACCCGAGCCTGACCTTCGCAGCTCGATGTGCGCCTGATACTGAAAAGGATTTTTGGGCACTGAGAGGGATTTCCCATGGCACGAGTAGCTTGGAGAGGCTACTATTCTGATCTGCTAAAATCAGTTCAGTATATTTAAGTATCATCCAGTATATCGGAGCTTTCTTGATGGTTTTTGTCTTCGATCATGTGTTCTAATTGCTGTAACTTTAGTTCAGCATTGATTGATTCAGTCGTGCACACTACCGCATCTTTCTTTGCAGTGCTGATGCATCTCTTGTAAATTTCTGAATGTAATGTCTTTGCCATCCTGATCGGGGAAAAAACATGGTGATGAATTGAGGAAGATTGGAGGTTCAAATGTGTTTTGTAATTGGTAGTTTTTTCATTGTTTCTTTATTTTATTTTTCAGTCATGTTTTTTTTGTTAGTTTCAGATTTCACCTTTTTAAGTTCGAATGTCTTTCTAAATCCTGCATATTAGTTGTCTCACCTGCAATGTATAAGAATTTGCCTCCGTGTTTCAGTTTTCATAGTTTCAGTTCTCAGTCACCCTTTTAGGTTTGAATGCACTCCTAAATCCTACATATTAGTTGTATAATAACTTATTTCATTTTTTTCTCAATTATTTGTTTTGTTTTCTGGTTGTTAATTCCTTTTTTAGTCACCGGTAATTTCAATTTTCAGTTTCAAAAATTTTCACTGTTTTGTACTATTGAGCCACTTGTGATGAGATATATGAAATAAGACTATGATCCATGTGTTTCAAAATAGTTTGTATGTACTGACAACTTATGTTATATATGTTGTAGCTATTTATGTATTAAGCATGGAGCAACCTATATATTAATCTTTCAACAAATTATATATAATAGCAAACGTGTAGCAACTTATGTATTAAGCGTGTAGCAACTTATTTGTCGATTTCAGTTTTAGTTGCCACAAAAGAATTTTTCTCCCAGTTTTATTTTTCAGTCAAGTTTTTTTTAGTGTTTTAGTTTCAGTTTTCAGTCTTGTTTTTTTAATGTATTTCAGTTTATGTTCTTAGTTACCCTTTTTAGGTTTGAATGCAATTCTAAACCCTACATATTAGTTGTATAATAACTTATTTCATTTTTTTCTCAATTATTTGTTTTGTTTTCTGGTTGTTAATTTATTTTTTAGTGACTTGTAATTTCAGTTTCAATTTTTTCACTGATTTGTATTGTTGAGCCACTTGTGATAAGATCTATGAAATAAGACTATGATGCATGTGTTTCAAAATAGTTTTTATTTACTGACAACTTATGCTATATATGTAGTAGCTATTTATGTATTAAGCGTGTAGCAACCTATATATTAACCATCCAACAAATTATACATACTAGCAAACGTGTAACAACCTATGTATTAAGCGTTTAGCAACTTATTTGCCAATTTCAGTTTTCATTATTTGTTGTCACTTTCAATTCAATTTTAGCTTTCCAGTGTTTTTGGTCTTTTTAAAAAAAAATAGTTTCAGTTTTGAGTCACCCTTTTAGGTTCGAAAATACCTTCCTAGACCCTGCATATTATTTGCCTCACCTATAATGTGTAAGTTGCATATTTTTAAGTTTTCATTCTTTTTTTAGTGTTCTTAAAGTTTCAGTTCTCAGTCTTGTTTTTTTTATTTTTTTTTATTTCAGATTTCATTCACTTTTTAGGTTCGAATGCTTTCCTAAATCCTACATATTAGTTGCCTCACCGACAATTTATGAGTTGTCACAAAAGAGTAACCATTGCACACATAAGTTGCCACAAATTATGTCATCTATTAGTTTGCACCAAGTCATGTTTCCTGATTTTGTAATAAATGCCCGCAGTTGGCAGCAAATCATGTTTGCTGGATTTTGTGGTTGTCAATTTCAGTTTTTTTTGTAATTTTAGTTTTAGTGTTATTTTTCTTTTTTTTCATTGTGTCTACTTTAGTTTTCAGTTTCTATTTGTCAACTTCAGTTTAATTTTTTGTTTGTCAATTTTAGTTCCAGTTCGCAGCAAGTCATGTTTCTTGAATTTTGTAATAAATGCCCCAGTTGGCAGCAAGTCATGTTTCCTAGCTTTTTTCATTTTTTTACTTTAGTTTTTTTTTTTTTTCAATTTTAGTTTTATTTTCTAGTAATTTTAGTTTTAGAGTTGTTAATTTCAGTTAGTTTCTGATTATTCTTTTTCAGTTTTATGTTTCATTTCTACATTCATGTGTTTTAGTGTTGAGAGGAGCAACCAATCTGCGGGAAGAAGCAAATCGGTGGAGAGGAGGAGCAAATTTGGATCGATGGAGTGGGGGTGGCTGCTGGCGGATTCGAGCGAAAAGGAGGAGCAGATTTGAGCTAGTTGTATAATAACTTGCCCCCCAGTTAGCAAGTTATGCAATACTTATTTTAATAATTTGCCCTCAGTTATATAGAACTATAGTATTACCTGGTACTAACTCTTTTGATATTTTTTCTCTAAGCTTGTGCATACTATGTAACAACTTTAGTATATTTTTGAGTAGCAACTTTAGTATTACATGGTAGTAACTCTTTTTTTAATATTTTTGCCCTGAGCTTGTGTATACTATGTGACAAATTAAGTACATTTTTTGTAGTAGCAACTTTAGTGTTACAATGTTAGTAACTTTTTTTGATAAATCTGCTAGCAAGTTTACACATAAATTATTATTAAAATAAAATTCATCGAAATATATGCAAGTGGGGGTCTAGCTTTGTTCGTCTCGTCACGTAGAACACACACAGAATTGAAAATGGATAAAAAATTCGGAAGTTATACCAATTGAAAGAAAAATGTTTTGGTTTTTGGTTTACTGTCAGCCTGACGTCAGGCTGGTCGGAACGGCATGGGGCTGGGGGCACGCACGAGTGGGGCTCGCGCGCTAAGCGGGACGGGTTGCGGCTTATCTGTGTCCATGAAATATGTGCTATAAAGACGTGTTAGACAGGATATATAATAGGTCCTAGGCATGCAAGAAAAAAAGTGGCGCAAAAGACGGATGAAGACACAAAGTAAAAATGATTTAGTGCACAGAAGATGCACTCAACGAACAGTCTGGAGGCTAAGGAAATTCATGTGCCAGATAAAGGAAGGTGGAGTCTGGCCTGACTCAATCCGGAGAAACGAAATACACGCGCTAGACAAAGGATTTTTATAGCTCAAGTTGAATAGCTATAAAACAATATAAGTCGGTTAGGTTTCTTCTTTCATGATTTATGTTTTTCTATCGAGTTTTGGTGGTATCTATATCGGTAGGTTGTCTGTGCATGCGCATTCGTAGAGGTGACAATATGTTTGAACCACCAACTTTTGGTTACTGCTGTGTGGTAATATAAATAGTATTAAATTTATATGACTTAGCTTTATCTATGTGTAGGTTGATAAGGTTTACCATAAGGATGAATGGAGCCACCTCAACAAAATCAGGTTTATGGTTTGAGTGACTAAGTGGCTAAATGATTGAGTGGTTCAATGGCTCAATGACTAAATGCCTAAGTGGTTAAATGACTGAGTGGCTAAGTGGATGATTCCCTAAGTGCCTTATTGGCTGAGTCGATGGAGTGACAAAGTGGTAGAGTGACTGAGAGGTCGACTGAGTTGCAGAGTGACTGAACTGAGTGGCTAAGTGGTTGAGTAGCTGGGTTGGCGATTCCTTGAGTGGTCGAGTGCTAAGTGACTGAATGTGACTGAGAGTGGCTGAATGACTATATATGTAGCTGAGTGACTAAGTGCATATATTGTACCATTAGTATGTTAATAATACTTAATTTTATGCATTCCAGAAATGAGTCTTCAGCTACTATATTATCCTTTTATGTTAGCCTTAATATTACTTTTAAGAGTCATAAGCTCCAGTGTTAGGACAATTGCCAAATTGATTACTAAAATATTTTGGCCCTTCAAATAAGTCACACTTCACAATAATGAAATTGATGTGGTCCCTTTTGCAGGTTGTTCTTTACCTAGAGCTTAATTAGGATCTGTTGAGCTTATGAAGTTGGGGTTGATTTGTTGTGCTTTGTTTTTGTGTGCTTGGTTGGTTGAAGGGGAAGCTCGTGGCGACCAAGATTCCGAAGAGCGAGTTCACCGCCCTATCCAATTCCCACAAGTAAATGCTTGTGCTACTTTTAATACATGTTAGTATGAATTTTGGGGAAATTTGGTTATGTATATAATTATTTTGTGTATTATGATGCAACCTTCATTCTTTTCTACTACTCTAGGATGTAATAACAAGATTCACACGATTTTGACCGTGGTAAAATGTGTTGTGTTGATGCATGAAAACTAGAATTATATTAGACATACTAGTATATTGCCCGTGCTATCGCTACGGCAACATCTAGGTAACACACTTTAAACAGTAACAGTGTCGCATGTGGATATAAATAGAAAACTCGTTTATAAAGGAGGAATCTCGTGCTAGTGCTACAGTAACACATATGTAACACATATTAAATAGTCACAGTGGACATGCACATGGATATCAATAGAAAACTCATTCAGAAAGGAAGAATTATCTATTTCATTAAATTATGTTATTTGTTCACTGTTCCAGAGGAATTACGTGTTCGCTTCTCTTATAATCCGTCTTTTTCAGCTTGTTTTCTTATCCGGAACAGTGTTTTTCTCTCACAACAAATCAGCTGAAAACAGTGTTTCGGCTTGTTTTTTCAGCGAAGCGAACGGGGCCAATGGACATTAAAAACAGGAACAGTAAGCTCGGATCAGATGCATCCTCAATGGCCGCTCTTCTAGGGTAAGAAGTGCTCTGGGGCCGGAGTAGGGAGAGCACCAACGAGCAAAGACCATAGCGAAACCCGTGGCCGGTGACTGCGTGCCGACGCTTTGGGCTTAGGCAACATCAGATCCGGTTGCGCGTAGCAGCAAGAAGACACACCGCAGGGCAAAGAGCGGTGAAGCCAACCAGTGGCGTACATCGTGGCAGTGTTCTGCTTTGACTGCCGCTTCAAGAGGCGTTGCCCGGCGCCGTCATCCGCTCCCTGTTCGTCTCGAGTTGGGACGGCGGCCTCGGGCGACAGCGTCATGGGGAACGGCGAGCAGTGGCGTGGCGCCTCGCTACGCCTAACCTCTCCCGCCGGCTTGCTGCTGCCACACACACGCGGGGTGAGGCACTGGAGGACCCTCTGTTGGTGACCTGAGATGAACACTTGATTGTAATGACATTGCTTTACATAAATAAATGACGAGTATATGAATAATAAAATAAAACAGGAGAAATCCGGATTATAAAAAATAAAAATCGCAACTGAGGTTGTTCAAAATGCCATACCTCACTCA